GGCGGCGGCACGCAAGCCGCCCGCTGGAGTGAGGCAGCGAGCGGGCAGCAGGGCAGGCAGCCCCGGAGGCGGCGGGAGATGTGCCCGGAGGAGGACGGCGGCTGTGGCGGCGGCGGTGGAGGAGGTGGTGGTGGAGGTGGAGGAGGAGGAGGCGGCGGCGGCGTGGCCGGTACCGGCGGCCCGGAGGCGGCGGTGGCGTTGGATGAGCTCCGCTCCTGGTGGGAAGTCCCGGCCATCGCGCACTTCTGCTCCCTCTTCCGCACCGCCTTCCGCCTGCCCGACTTCGAGATCGAGGTGAGAGACCCGCCGGGACCCCGAACCCCAGCCGGGCTGCTTCCCTGCCGCCGCCTCCCCCGCTCCCCGTGCCCGGCGCTGGGGTAGGGAAGGAGTGGGGGGGGCACCCCCTTCCACCCCTCGGGGGTGTTTGGGGGGGGGATGCAGGTCGGGGTCCCCCCCTCCGCTTGCGGAGGATCCCACAACTTCCCCGTCCTTGCCGGGCGCGCTCGCAAACTTTCGGCGCTCCCGTCCCGGGGCGGCGGAGGCGGCGGCGGGCAGGACCCCCCCCACACATACACCCCCCCAACAACCAGGCTTCGGAGCCGGTGGGGCGCACGGCGGGGCCAGCCGCATTGTTCCGCCGGGCCGGTGTCCGCACACAAAGGTTGTTGCGCCCGACTTCGAGATCGAGGTGAGAGACCCGCCGGGACCCCGAACCCCAGCCGGGCTGCTTCCCTGCCGCCGCCTCCCCCGCTCCCCGTGCCCGGCGCTGGGGTAGGGAAGGAGTGGGGGGGGCACCCCCTTCCACCCCTCGGGGGTGTTTGGGGGGGGGATGCAGGTCGGGGTCCCCCCCTCCGCTTGCGGAGGATCCCACAACTTCCCCGTCCTTGCCGGGCGCGCTCGCAAACTTTCGGCGCTCCCGTCCCGGGGCGGCGGAGGCGGCGGCGGGCAGGACCCCCCCCACACATACACCCCCCCAACAACCAGGCTTCGGAGCCGGTGGGGCGCACGGCGGGGCCAGCCGCATTGTTCCGCCGGGCCGGTGTCCGCACACAAAGGTTGTTGCGGGGGTTGGGGGACACACACACACACACACAACGGGACGGGACGGAGCCGGTGGTGCGTCCCCCGTGCCCAAAATGGTGG